CTCCCTTGAGAAAGCTTCACTGTGTTTTCAATGCAAATTAGTAAAGATAAGATCTTGACTCACAGGTGAGTGGGTGGCATTTATTTCAAATATGGCGGCTCTCCAATGTTCGCACACCAAATTAATTTACCTATTGCCAAATGTCAGAGGATATCTGTGATCAGTTGCAAAAACACTACAAATTGTTTGTAGCCCATTCTGTCAAGAAATGCAGTCTATTAACCCACCTCTTGATGTGAGGTCGTACTATAACTTGCTTTGAATAATAGAATGTGGTAAGTGATGTTGTGAGTTTTAAGTTTCAGCTGAAGACACCTGCTGTTTCTGTCTTGCAGAGGGGAGCTTTCCAGCACCTGCGATAAGGCTCGCCAGCCTGCCGAATAATGAGCCCACATGGATGGACACAGGCCCCCATCCCTGCCAAACCTATTGATGCTACACAGACGTGAAGAAGCCCACCTGAGAAAAGCTGAACCTGCCCAGCACATAAAGACCTCCCAGGTGGGTCTAGCAAAATTTACTGTCTTACAGAATCATGAGACACTAAAACATTATTTGAAGTTATGAAGTTTTTGAGTACTTTGTTACATAGAAAAATCTGACAGATAACAGTCTTCAAAGAAATTCTGTTTTTCAGCAAGGTCTTAGTGCTTCTGTGACTCACAGGCTCCCACGTGCCTCAAGTGCCACAGAGAGAAGGTTAAATGAATGAGGAAAAACTGATAGACTTTCCTAGCTCAAGGCATGATGTTATTATCATTATCATTATTAATATTTGTCTTTATATAGCAGCTTCTGCTTGGGAACAGTTGCTACGTGTCAGACACTGGACTGTATTTAACTTTATAATTTGTACTCATCTATCATATCATTTCATTTTACTATGTTAGCCATCATCTAATAATTTTTCTTCTGTTTTATAGAAAATAACCTTAAGCCTCGGGTATTTTGAGTGGGTGGCCAAGGTGATGCAGCTGATAAAATAAAAAGCAGCACGGAATACATGTTTATCTTATTACAAAATCTATATTCTTTTCATCTTGCTACTCTAAACTCTGTTATTGTTGTGAATCACCTTTAATTACTGCAAGATAGAAGTCTTTGCCTTCAGAGTAAACCTTCACCAGTGCATAAAGTCAGACTAAAAGAATTTGAAAATACACAGAGTTTTAGAGAATGTTGTAACTGCTTATTAGAACTAACATAAATTCTACCTAATTTCTTAGAGGGCTCTAAACAATGTTAATTATAACAGCACATCCCTTTGTTATTTTAGTTATGAATCAATGGCATGTCAATAAGTGCTTTCTAAGAAAGTTATTGGACAAAGTACTATTTTGAACTCCAAATTTTATTCCCACTATTAATTTATGAAGAGGATCATTTCTCTTTCTACTAGAAAATGTAATAAATTAGCTTTTGTTAAAATGGTATACTATTCTTCTGAGTTTCATTTACTTATTATTTTACCTTACATTGAAATTATGACCTGAAGACAGAAGCAACTGGAAAAAGGTCCACTGTGTTATGGCTGGGTGAAGCAGGAAGAGGAGAGAGACAAAACTAGGTCAAAGATAGAAAGGGCGTCTATTATCTCCTCAATGACTTTGCCTTGTTCGGACTTTCCCTTCACCCCACAGGATGTGAGATCTGAAACAGCACCCTCAACTTCCCATCCAAGATACAGTCCTAATCCCACATTTAACACCCTAACTTCTTAACGAGTTGAGTTATTTAAACTATAATATTAATAGGTGAAATTCTGGAGTACCATCCCAAAACATTTTGTTCATTTGTCAAAATCCTAAGGAATTTCCGTGATATACAAAGCAGATAAGTCTGGATACAGGAAAAAAAAAAACATGCTATTCGCTACACAGCAAGAAAGATATTGAGTGGTAAAGGAAGCACATCTCAAAAGGGAGCTCAAAAACTCTCTTCATTCACCATGGCAGGAGCTAGAAAGAGTAAAACCACCTATACGGTCAGATATCTCTCCTAATCATGTTAAGGCACTGGATTCTGAATCCACACAGAAGGAGAGACCCTCACCCATCACCCCTCACAAGGACCCAAGGCTTGCCCCACAGCATTGCATCTGTATTACTTACCAGCTGTGTGACCCTGTGAAAAGTCCTTCAACTCTCTGGGCTTTAATGTCCTCCCTGAAAAATGAAAATGATATTAAAATATGACAAGTATATGTAAAGAGTCCTAGGAATTTTTCATTCCAAGTGCAGTATATGCACATTCCTCACAACTGCCTAATGTGTTACCATCAATGCCTCCAGCCAAAGACCAGCAGGAGCATACCCTTGAATGAACAAGTTGACTTTATTGTTTTTTCCAATGATGGATAAAACTCACCATGAGGATTGTGCAGCTCCTGAGTAAGAGATTGTTGGAACCAAAGAAGTAGAACCAGGAGAATACGTATGTTAAGAGAGTGATGCATGGAATTAATTGTTGCAACCGTGGGGGTGGGCTAGGCAAGTCCAAGATCCACTGGGAGGTGGCTGTCAGGAAGGGCAGGCTGGAACTCTCAGCACAGGCTGACACGCTGTCCAGAGGGGGATTTCTATTTCCTCAGAGAAAATTCAGGTCTGCTCTTAAGGCTTTTCAGCAGCTTAGATTAGGCTCACCCAGTTTTTCTAGGATAAATTCTTAAAGCCGACTGATTATGAATTTCAATGACATCTACAAAATATCTTCACAGTAGCATCTAGATTATTAGTGTTTGATTGAATAACTGGGGATCACAGTCTAGCTGACACATAAAATTGACCATTAATCAATTGTAGGTTTCGTGCTTGTTTTAGGTGATTTGGGGGAGGATTTAAGAAAGAGGGATTTTGCTTTTAATTGGATTCTGACAGAAAGTGGAGGGTTGGGGTGGCAATTGGGTAGCTTCATAAATCCTACCTAATGGGATGGAAGACTATCCTGAGGCTACAGATGTAATTAGTAAAGATGTAACAATCACTGCCGAGAGAGATGTCCCTGGTTATTTTTGTGGTTTGGACAGCATTCATGTTTTTTCTAGCTTCAGACATGATGACTGAGCATTCTGGTGTTCCGTCTCAATCCATCGTGCTCACAGAGTTCGTGTGATTCTACGAAATCCTTTATCTTCAACAGGAGAACCATAACCATCTGGGAGTGCCAGGCTAGCTCATAGCAAACCCAAGGCCTTGTTAATTGCATCCAGGCAGCTCTTAGGGGTCAGAACATTTTTTTTTTTGTTTCACCTTTTTTTATTTTACAGTCTCTGCCACTGGGAGGTAAAACATAGTGCTGAGAATCTCAGAAGGCTGTTTATCAAGGACAAAGTGATTCTAAATAGAACTTCCATTAACTCATGATTTCTATCACATATAGAGAATATATTCACCTGAAGAAAATAATAGATTTCCTTTTAATGACTAACTTTAGCTCGATCTCTAGTAGCTTGCAAGTGGTAGGATAATAAATTTTAAAAGATCTGGTAGTTTAAGACAAGAAAACCATTTCTCTAAGTCAATGCAATCCTTATTATTCTCCGCTTAACTTTTGACTTGACATTCTAAATTTTAAAAAAATTCTTAGGGCCGGGTGCGGTGGCTCAAGCCTGTAATCCCAGCACTTTGTGAGGCCGAGGCGGTGGATCATGAGGTCAAGAGATCGAGACCATCCTGGTCAGCATGGTGAAACCCCGTCTCTACTAAAAATACAAAAAATCAGCTGGGCATGGTGGCGCATGCCTGTAATCCCAGCTACTCAGGAGGCTGAGGCAGGAGAATTGCCTGAACCCAGGAGACGGAGGTTGCGGTGAGCCGAGATCGCGCCATTGCAGTCCAGCCTGGGCAACAAGAGCGAAACTCCGTCTCAAAAAATAAAAAAAATTCTTAGAATAATTGAGCCAACTAAAGCTCTTTTTTTTTTTTTTTGGTTGGAGCCCAATTGAGTCCAACCGGCATAACATGGCTCACTGCAATCTCCGCCTCCCAGGTTCAAGCAATTCTCCTGCCTCAGCCTCCTAAGTAGCTGAGACTACAGGCTCATGCCACCACGCCCCACTGATTTTTTTTTTTTTAAACGTTTTTTGTATTTTTAGTAGAGACAGCGTTTCCCCATGTTAGCCAGGATGGACTCAATCTCCTGACCTCGTGATCCACCTGTTTTGGCCTCCCAAAGTGCTGGGATTACAGGCTTTAGCCACCGTTCTGGCCCAGCCAAAGCTTTTAAATGTAATCAATGTCCCTAAATTTCCTTTAAACATACTCAAACAGTACCAAAACACAGAACAGAAGGATTACTCAACGCAAAGAAAAACTGTATAAAATCTCCTACAGTTACTGCAGAGAGCACCACCTGACATTATAACCTCTTTTTATTGCCCTGGCCAAAAACACCTGAATCTTTTGAGAGCTTGAGAAGAACTTCCTCAGCTGGGTTTATACAAGTAGAAAAGGCAAAGGTATTGCTTGGCTACCATTAGCAGAGATCACTAGGTAGGTGGGGTCAACTTAATATTTGGAGAATTCCATAGGCACTATGGAAGCAGAAAGAAAAACAGCTAACCCACATACAGAAGCCAGAGAAAGAGGAGGGACTGGGGACTGCCAGGGAGGGAAATCAACTCAGGGAAAAATTCCTGGAGGCTATAACCCAGAAAATCCTGAAGGATGCCATGTAATTGATGACCTCATCTATCCATGAGGCTGATCAGAAATGCCCACCCCTCTTGCCACTGGCAAACATGCACACACCGGAGAAGATTCCAATTTAGTATCCTCCCTCTATTCACAGAACATTTCCTCAAGTCCACTCTGAAT